ACTATGATAATGTTTATCACACTTGAAGCCACGTGGTTTAGGGACTAGGATAATGTTATCACACTCGATGCCACGTGGTTTAGGGACTAGGATAATGTTTATCACACTCGAAGCCACGTGGTTTACGGACTAGGATAATGTTTATCACACTCGAAGCCACGTGGTTTAGGAACTAGGATAATGTTTATCACACTCGAAGCCACGTGGTTTAGGGACTAGGATAATGTTTATCACACTCGAAGCCACGTGGTTTAGGGACTAGGATAATGTTTATCACACTTGAAGACACGTAGTTTAAGGACTAGGTTAATATTTATCGTACTTGAAGCCACGTGTTTTAGGGACTGGGATAATGTTTATCATACTTGAAGCCACGTAGTTTAGGGACTAGGATAATGTTTATCACACTTGAAGCCACGTGGTTTACGGACTAGGACAATGTTTATCACACTTGAAGCCACGTGCTTTAGAGACTAAGATAATGTTTAGAGATGAGAAGGTTTGAGCTTACCTAATGAATCGACGGATGTCGAAGAACAAGACTAAAATATACGTGACTTCTCTGTCAATGTACAAATATTGCTATTGTTTTGAGTTTGACCACTATAACGTTAAGCTTATTTATGTATGAAATACGAAGGGTCAACTATTAAAGCTTAAAATTTAAAAAAAAATGTATTGTTCAATCGTAGATCCCGGTTAGGTTCTACCGCTAGTACGTTCTTGAAGCCACTCATGAACACATGATTATACAGGTATTAGGAAAAAAGTATCGTTAAATAAAAAAGTTATAGATAATGAAATTGAAAATGGAAACCAGTCAATATAGGGATGGAAGTGGATATATCACTTGATTGGCTAACGACCACTTGGCAGACGAAGCGGTCTCAACTTTGCATGGAAAATACAATCCCTACATTACTGGCTTCCCCATTTTGTCTATCGAAAGCTTGGTGTGTGAATAGAATCACAGCTTTCATCATTATACCTTTTAGTTAACTTTAGAATACTTTTATGACTATTTTACAACTTGGAAATTCTGTTTGCTTTGCCAGTGAGAAATCCAGTAATGTAGGGGTTTTGTTTTCCGGCTTAGTATGCTGTGTGATCATTAGCTGATCAAGTGATATGTCTACTTCCATCCCTATCTTGTTTGGTTCTTTTTTTGGCGTACCTGGTTATAGAGTGTATTCTGACTACCAACTCTAGGACTACTTTTCACCAACGAAAAGTGGGTCTGGCCATCACATTATAACGTTATCAAGCTCCCATGGCTGAAAGGGCGAGCATGTTCAATGATGGGATTCGAACCGCGACCCACAGATTGGGAGTCGAGGGCCCTAACCACGATCTTCCTTGAAATTTTTTTCTCACCTCCTAAAACTGTCAGCATACACACAATACAGTTTCAGAATAAAGAAATTAATACTCTAAAAGTCCAAATTTTCTTTAATCTCGCCTGTTTGTTTTTTAGACTGACAAAATTCAGTCAATATACGTTAACATGTGACAGAAGAATAAAGATTCAAGTTGTCATATTATCCAAATTTCCTAGGGAGTGGGAAGAAGACTCTACTGGAAGTAATAGCTCGAAGAGCTATGGGACTCACTCGTGGTCAGATTCTCTTGAATGACGTCCCAATGTCCATCCGACTGTTCCAAGAGCAGTGTGGCTATGTTCCAAAAAAATTGCCCTTTATTCCTGGACTGACCGTCCTCCAAACTCTTACGTATGCAGGAGAGTTGAGTATTGGATCCAAAGTCTCCAACTCTATGAAAAGAAGCCGGGTAAGTGACGTATTATATATTCTTGCCTCTTCAAAGTGAAACGCTACTGTAGTAATGTATTATGATTGCTTAGATTTGTTGGAAAGGGTTGGGGGGAGATAAGTTAATATATTTGATACTGGAAAAAAATGTCCTATGTGTTGGGCGCCTATGTAAGGTTTGTAATAGGCTCTGGCCGTGCGACAAAATACGATGCTGTATCGTTGGTTCGTTTAAATAACAACAATTTACATCGAGTTATCTCTTGTCATGATTTTTTGTTATGGTAGTATCATGTACTTTCTCCCAGATGGGTTATAAGTTAGTTCTGTTTGTGTTCAACCGTGCACAACCACAGGAAAATGCATGTGACATACGGTAACCGTGATGTGATAAATGTAACCATACGGTGGTCGATATTTAATTAATTATTTCCACGCTTTGTATTTATGGCTGTAGTTCAGCCTTACGAACGATTACACCGTCCGAACTTGACGAATGTAATCTTAATGGATAACTTACGGTATAAAGTCATGAAAACATAGGATATCAAGTTATGAAAACACGGGACATCTAGTCATGAAAACACAGGATATCACGTCATGGGACCACAGGATATCAAGATATGAAACACAGAATAGCAACTCATAAAAACATAAGATATGTAATCATGAAAACACAAGATATCTATTCATGAAATCATAGGATGGCAAATCATGGAAACATAGAATATCAAGTTATAAAAACACGGGATATCAAGTCATGAAACATAGGATATTAACCCATGAAAATGTAAGATAAGAAGTTATGAAAACATAGGATGTCAAGTCATTAAAACACAGAATATCTAGTCATGAAATCGTAGGATATAAAGTAATAAACAAAAGCTATAGATAAGCATCTTCTGTAAAATCAGTTTCATCTAACCCTGTCGTTCAACACAGTGACATTGTTCTAAAAAAATGTGGATGAGTGATACATTTAATTTTATAACGTAATAAAATAAAAATTCTATCACTAGTTTTTGCCAAAGTTTCAAACGTGAAGGCTGTAGATATAAATATAATCACGAGAAATCTTAAATAACACAAATTATACACGAAAAATTTAAGTATTTGAATATTTGAGTGCAAAACTATACCTTATGAAATAAGACAGTAGTCACGTGAAGGTCGTATTTGTAAACCTTTTGTGCTATTTGTTTGTGTGCTGAATAAACCAAATGTTTCCATCTAGGTTAAGCAAGTTATGACAGACTTAGCCTTGAATCAGGTATCCAACAGAGAGGTCAGCACTCTCGCTACCAGTGATTACCGACGTTTGGCCATCGGGACGGAGCTAGTTAAAGATCCTGGTAAGTATTGTTTGACCGTTAGTGGACATGAATGAACTTCTGGTCAAGGCTCCTCCGCCATCAATTAAAAACAAAACAGCCTAAACCAATAATCTATCAGAACTGTCTTCAATTCATCGGTAACGAAGAACACGAGAGTTTTAATTCATTTAATATTATGCCAAATTAAGTAAAAGTAAACTGATAATAATCTTCAAATTGGTCACAAGTATATGACCAACTGTCATAAGGAGACTTATTCATTGTTTAGAATACATAAGTGTTATTGTTTCAGAACTTGCGTCATAAGAAGAATTATTCATTGTTTAGAATACACAAGTATTATTGTTTCAGAACTTGCGTCATAAGAATAATTATTCATTGTTTAGAATACACAAGTATTATTGTTTCAGAACTTGCGTCATAAGAAGAATTATTCGTTGTTTATAATAAACAAGTATTATTGTTTCAGAACTTACGTAATAAGAAGACGTATTCATTGTTTATAATAGATAAGTGTTATTGTGTCAGAACTTTCGTCATAAGGAGACTTATTCAGTTATTATGGCTTTGCTTTGGAAATTAAGATAAAGGGGTCAAATAACTGAAAAGTTATTCTATTACATTTTCGTTTTCTTTGATAATATAACCATGTTTCTTGTACTACCAAACTCTGGTTTAGGTACTCGTAGTGGGCACAGCAAAGATAGCCCATTGTGTAGCTTTGCGCTAAACAACAAACAAAAACAAATTTTCTACTACTATATTCATTTAGGAACTGAAGAATCGGAATCGTATCCGTGCGATACCATGAAATATTCCTTGTGGGTGCCTTATAAAACTGAAAGTCAGTCCCTTAACATAGTTGGTGAGTGGGTGGTAGGGTGTTCCTGACTGGTTGCCTTCTCCCTGGTCAGTAGCTCAAAATTAAGGACGGCAGCAAATAGCCTTAGTAGGTTTGCCATAAATAAATAAATACAAGTTATATTATTATCTATTAAGCTTCAGACTGTTCATGCTATACTATAACTGTAACTATCCATATGTCTGACTTACTGGACGCTATATTATATATGTACTTATCTATATGTCTGGCTTAGAGGCTATATTATAAATGTATGTATCTGTATGTCTGGCTAGCTGCAGGCAATTATCGTTAGCAGATAATCCAACACATAAGTAGGAACGTGAAGAGACAAAGCTTATGTTATGGAGTAACAAACACATCAATTATGCACACGTTAAATGACTAATCATATCTAAAAAAATTGTATTATAATAAATAGTCAATACAGTTTGATTGATTTGCACGCTAGATGAATTTAGCAACAGGTGCTCCTCCATCCAATCACGGAGTCCTGTCACAGCACGTTTGTTAGGGCGCAATCCAGGTAGCGTGGCCAAGACATGCTGAACTATGTTCGTTAAAACTCATTTGATATGTATTGCACTTTCAAATTGAAGAATCTGAAGTTTTTTTCAGAAGTTTAAAGTCTACTGATATTATTACTGTAGAATCTTTACTAAAATAGAACCATCAAACTTTCGTTTTCTATTTTTCTTAGGATCAGATTAATATATATATTTATCGCTGTTGGAAGACATGAACCCTCAAAATGTTGGTCTTTAATTATTTAATTACTTTATTTTTCGGCAGTTCTTGTGCTCCTGGATGAACCTACCTATGAAGTGGATCCTTTAAATAGCTACTTCGTCATATCTAGCCTATCCAATCATGCTAAAAAGTACAAACGCATTGTTATCATCAACATGGACCAACCAAGATCAGACATTTTTCCATTTCTGGACCGAGTGACTTACCTGTGTCTTGGAGATGTAGTGTACACAGGTAACCTTTAGAAAATAGCCCATGTCCTTCATAACATTTAAATTTTAGTAAAGGTTAATTAGTGGTCTTTAATGATCCGATAGCAATAATTATTGTTTACTCAACTGAAATATATAACCCTTCACCTTATCACTTAAAAGTCTCTTTACAGGAGCTAATGACTTTGCAGACTGAAGATAGAATATTTAATTACGTTTATGACAAACAAACACAAAACTGTTAACTTGAGAAAAAAAATAACGAGTCTAATTAATAACATAACGTTTCATTTTCCAAATGTTCCAGACCATTATAATATAAAATTTTATTTCAACTTTATTAACTCCTAATATTCCAGATTTAATGCAATATACCTTTCCATTTTCAATGTTTATTAGCCCTAATATTACAGAAATATCGTGGTTGATTTTTTTTAGACTTTCTTACTTACTTAAATACATTATATCTGCAAGTTCTTCAAATCTGAAATCAATACACTTACTAAAACAGTACTAGCTATATGCATAGAAAAAGTGATATAACACACCTTGTTAGGCCTAACATTTTGTAAGAGTTTCATACATGTTCTATCTTTTGAAAGTGTTGTAGAGACGAAACAATGACCGTGTACAGTAGAACACTGGAAGCTAGGGGGACTGTTATATTGAAATGTGTGGTTTAAGTTTTTGTTTCATATAATATATGTATATTTTTAAACAGTAATTTGTATATGAAATATTATTTTGATTTTATAAGATTACTTCGTCAGATCATCTATATTTTTATGTAATTTACGTAAGCTTCACTCAGTTTATTATTCAGTAGTTAATAATGCTTGTCAAATATAGTGAATATTTCAATAGCGATAGAAAGATTGAAATTCAGAGGTCTTCATCGGGAAGTGTAGAAAATTTGAATGTTATAAATCTGAATTTCATTCCGCAAAATACATTTACTCGGATAATGAATGTGACTGTAATCTAAGCTGGGTCTTATAAGTGTTTGTCTGACAACTAGTGCCTCTGATATAATAATAATCCAAAGGTTTGGTAAATATAGCTCCAAACGCTTTATGCAAATAGTTTATGAAAAAAAGCATAAAATAGATAAAAAAAATCATAAAATAGACAAGTCTCAGACATTAAATGTAAAACTACCTATAATTTTAGAAATTATCAACCGAACATCTAATAAAGTTGTATTTAATGGTAATTGCACTTGTTAAGAACCCAAAACATCTCGGAAATTTGGAAAAGGTTGTTCTTATGAGTCACGCTTTATTTTCCAACTCAACAGTTTTCATGTGAATTTGTTGAGAAGTTTTACAAATGGAACGTTACTCATCTCACTAGTAATAGCACTTCCCACGGTTTTGATTATAATGTGTTTCATCTTTATTTTCTTGGAATTTGGTTTACAAAAATGTGCAGATAATTGAAAGCAGCCATCTAGAAAAGTTAGGCCAATGTTGCGGTTGATGGCTCGCAAAACACATAGAACACTGTGATAAATTATGTATCACTCAGCTGAAAATACCTAAACCTGATCTCTCTGGAAACGCTGAGGTAACTTATCAAAAGGAAATTATTGATAAAGTTTGTTAAAGCAGTCGAAAAGTATAGTGGAAAAAAAGGAGGAATCATTATTAAATAATCTTAGAGGTAATTCACAGTTTAAAAACAAAATAAACAGGAAATATTACTAAAATAAGTTAATTCGTAGTTAAGAAAAGAAACAGGAAACATTACTAAAATATTTTAGAGTTAATCATAACTTGAAGATAGACAATATTACTAAAAAAATCTCGAGTTAATACAAAGTTAAAAAGAAAACATGGATAATTACTACAAAGGCATACAGAATATTTATTGAAGAGTGTTATGGACAAAATTGGTTAAATTAGCCAACCATAGAGACTTAAAAACAACAACAACAACAAAAAAAAAACGGGAAATGATTTTACATATACAAATCACGATACAAAAAGAATTACAAGACTTAAATAACTCAAGTGAAGTTCCATGTAAAGTTAAAGCTGTAAACTAGTCCTAGAGGATAATTTCAGGCTAACTGACGCTTTACGTGGCAGCTTTCTTAGTTCTCTACAGTTATTTAAGCCTAACTGAAGATGCGATGCTTTCGTTTTCATATAATTGGTAATTAGTTAAATGCATGTTTTTCAAAAATACTCTTTAATGATAATAATTCTTAATAAGGCACACTCGTAAATTGCCATAATACACAGTTAAACTACTGATTTTAATATATATATATATATATTCCGCGAAAACGCTCCCCGCACCTTACAGCCTTGAGTTACAGTCAAGTTCCACTATTCTATTAGGATAGTGGTAGGCGCTGTTACTATTGACTAGTTTCATCCCCTCTAGTTTATCATTTAAAAATTAGGGGACAAAAAACAAACAAACATTATTTCCTTCACAGATTAAAAGTTTTTTTGTATTTGTTTGTCATTGTTCTAGTGAGCAAGAGGCATATGATATCCTATCACGCTCGAAATAAGACGTTTCTTTCCTTATGTCTGCCAGTTTTCTATTGATTAAATATTTCAACTTTGTTTCTTTTTTTTTCTGTTTTTCCTTAGGTACTCATTTTACATACTCGTTATCTTAGAAAATTCCGAATACATTCTGAATCAGTGTTAATAAGCCCACCCCCACAAAAAAATAAAAAATAGCAGGACATGTACTAGGAAACATTACAGACATTTTCGTCTTTTACAACTTTCAGTAAGAAATAATCGATTTTGTTTGTTTTTTATTTCTGTAAAAAATAGATTAACATGCATGTAAATTTCAATCTCAAAATACAAATACAAATGGTTAAGAATTCTGCAAGGGTACAAAAATATGTGTCTACGTGATGAATGTTATTTGGCCGAATCTTTGAAAACGCATTTTTCTTTCCTTTTATTCTGATTTGAACTATTTCGTTGAATTTTCAGATTTTACCACCCTGTAGCAACATTTGTTTGTTTGGATTAGGCTTAGCATGAAGCAACAGGAAATGGATACTATCAAAAGTTGAAATAAAAATTAAATATTATCAATGTATTTCAAGCAAATTTTGTTTTGTGTACAGGTAGCACGAGAATGATGATGGAATACTTCCGTAGTGTCGGTTTTCCATGCCCTGACCGGGAAAATCCGTTAACATATTATCGTAAGTGCTAAGCTGTTTATCTTTGCGAAGCATCGATCTAATTATAAATCAACGTGTTAATTTATAGATTTGTTGTTATTTTGTCAGATATATATATATGTAACTTAAAACTTAGTGTATTTGTATTCATTAAGCTTAACTAAATTTGGTTAAAAATTAAACTTACATGAGACACTGTTCATAATTTATTAAGAATTGCTCGTTCACAATAACCTATTTGAACATTTAGTGAATTGTTTTTGTTGTTTATTTCAGCTGTCTAATTAATTATAGCGTAACATTCACTATAGTTTGTTTTTGGCGGTCCCCCAGTGGCAAGCGGTATGTCTGCGGTCTTACAACGTGGTGGGCAGAGCACAGATAGCCCTTTGTGTAGCTTTGCGATTAACTACAAATAAACAAACAAACCTTTTTGGTGATGTTAAGTTATAAACTTTATTGGGAAAATCTATATAATTTAAATGAGTTTTCTAAAGGTTTTATAATATTAAAAAGTATTGTATTTTTGATCAACTTACAATTTAATGAAAATTTATTTATTTTTTGCAGTTTTGATATCGTTATTGGTATTTACTAAATTGTAAAATTATTGTTTTACATAACATGATTTACCCAGTCATTATGGTTTACTCATCCTGCAGTAATAGTATATAAAGAAATTTGTTTAAATATATAATGGACAAGAATATATCAAGCCTAACCTATCAAATTTTATTATCAAATGTACCTAATGGAAAGAAATGTGTAGCAGTTGAGTAGGCCTAAATTACCATAGTTAGTAAAGCAAACCGATAACAATGTTTGCTAGTTGGGTAGGCCTAATCTGCGTGTAGGCTAATGATAGCGAAGGAAGCAAGTGGATAAAAACTTTTGCTAGTTGGGTAGGCCTAATCTGCGTGTAGGCTAATGATAGCGAAGAAAGCAAGTGGATAAAAACTTTTGCTAGTTGGGTAGGCCTAAGCTGCATGTAGACTTAACTTGCCAATGTTAGTAGAACAAGCCAAAGATAAAAAAATTTGATACATGGGTAGGCCTAATCTGCTAATGTTAGTAAATCACACTTGATGAGTGAAAACTTGCGCCATAGTTACTAAAGAAACCCTAATGGATAAAAAAAACAAAACAAAAAACTTAAATTAGTTTGGCTGTTACTAACGGTAGATTAGATTATATATAAAATAATCCATATTTTAGTCGTGAGATTAATTTTATTCTCTCTCTTTACTATAAAAACGTACAATTTACTATTGCAGATTTTTATTTGAATTTCATGTTATTTTATTAATGTTTACATAACAGTGTGTTTGTCTACTGTGGATCGTCGTACCAGAGAACGATTCATTGAATCCAGTTCACAAATTGCTGATTTGGTGGAGAGATTCAAAACGGTAGGCACTAAATATCGCAAGCTGTCAACGCAGAAATCCGGAATTTTGAAAAATGGAGACAACCAATGGAAGCTACCTTTGACAGCATATGGACAGCCATCAGGATGGAGGGTGTTCACGGCTCTTACTCGGTAAAACAGATTAATATGAACATGCATGTGAAATCATAATAATAATACCTAAAAGTTATAAATTTATTCAGAATATTTAAATTATATTTGTTGATGCATAGAACGGCCACCCCCGGTGACTCAGATGTAAGCTTGCAAGTTTATAACGTTAAAATCGGGGTAGGCACCCCTCGATGGTCACAGCGCAGATAGTCCATTGCGCTTAAACACAAAAGAAACAAAAATGTACAGAATGCTTATTTCTATCACTTAGCCTGCGGTAGCTCAACGGTAAATCTGAGAACTTGTAACACTGAAAACGTGGTTTCGTACCGTCAGTGGGCACAGCACAGATAGACCATTGTGTAAGTTCTGCTCTTAACAACGAACGAAACAAAAGTAGAACTTGAAACAAGTGTAAAGATGATACTATTTTAGCGTCATCTATGCGCTGCTAAACATACTATTAAAGACGTAACGAAGCAAAGTTTTGCGTTTGATTTTGTGATGCCGATTTTTGCTTGAGTCTAAAAGTTTTACGTTGTAGTAGTCTATTTATTTAGGATTATTTATTCATAAGCTTATATTAATATCAAGTAATATAAAATAAAATATCGAACACGTCGCGGCTCTTTCAGAAAGAACCAGAACAAATACTACTGAACTGTGTTAATTAAAGAAATTATTATATGTTTGTTTGTTTTGAATTTCGCGCAAAGCTACACGAGAGCCATCTGCGTTAGTCATCCTTAATTTAGCAATTAAAGACTAGAGGGAAGGCAGCTAGTGGGATAGATCGTCACTTTATAACGCCCCCACGAGTGAAAGGGCGAGCATGTTTGGTGGGACGGGGATTTGAACCCGCGACCCTCAGATTGCGAGTCAAGCGCCCTAATCACCTGGCCATACCGGGGCCTTTTTATATGTAGGCAGGTGCTAACGATTGAAGTATTGTAAAGTTAATTGAGTAAATTTTATACCTGATGGAGAACTTACGTTTATTTTGTTTGTTTGTTTTAGAGCAAAGTCACATTGGATTATCTGTTGTGTTCACCACGGGGAATTGAAACCCGGAATTTAGCTTTGTAAGTCCGTAAATTTACTGCTGTACCAGCCAGGGGGGGGGGGGGGACCTTCACGCTTATTATAGAGGTTCGTTTTTTATTCTCTTTGTTCATCGTCTCGTTCATTTTATTTACAGAAGATCATTTGCGTCATTATTTAACGTCAACAACAGCGCCTTCGAGCGCCTTACTCTCCACGTGGTGGCGCTGCCTGTTTTCTTCACCATTCTCTACCTGTTGTATTTTCCACTAGAAAATACACAACAGAGTTACATTTCACGAAATGGTCTGCTGTTCAACTGTCTAGTCGGAATGTCTCTCCTGGGAGCAGCAGTCACAGCACGGACCTGTAAGTAAACCAACCTTACTCTTTCTTTTTTAGTTTTTAAAAGGTAATCACTAGGTTTTTGCCTTAGTAACGTCGCCTTGACGACTTAAAAACTATAAAGTAAGTTACACCACGAAGGGTGTTTTTATTCCTTATTGCCTCAGTAACGTCACCTTGACGACATCCTTTCCAGATGACTAAAACAGTCCTCCTAGAGCTGTTGATAAGTTGTGTCAGCTGCATCATAAAATAAGTGTTGTAAGTTTTGATGATAACTAGTCAGTTTTAGAAAATACAATAACCCTACAGCTACCTACTATGACCCATCTGCACTTTAAGTTCACTTTAAAAGTTCGTGATTTTGTAATAAAGTTTCGGAATATCATAATTTCCATCTGTTTTCGGCATCATAAGTTGGAGGATAAGAACATGTTGTATTAGTTTACTTAGGCGTCGGATTGTATGGAGGAGACAAGGAGACATCACGATATAATGAAAGTCAGGGAAAAAAACACAGGCGAATTTAATGTTAAAATAAGCAGTTTAATGACCTTTTTACTTTTGCACATAATATCTTCTTTTATCTTTTCGACTTTTTTTTTCTTTGAGCATTAAATTCATTTTAGATTAGTAAGTCATTATTTTAAAACTAAAACTCAATTCTAGTTGGGGAAATCATAAACCTATCGAAATTTAGGGGAACCAGCCCCCTCTGTTCCGACATTGTGGCTTGTTATGTTTAATAGGTATTTATGTTACATATGAAATGTCAGGAGTCTAGTGTTAAGCAAAAGAAGCTAGTAAAACTAACTGAATAGGTTCTGTAAAGTGTCACAAACACAAATATATACTTTATTCACCAGATGGCGCGCATCGAACAAGATACTACAACGAGTCTCGCCAAGGCATGTATCGAGGACCATTGTTTATACTTAGTCGTATCGTTTGTAGTGTGCCTTTAAATCTTATGACAGTCTGGGCTGGGGCAACAATAATTTATTCGTAAGTAAAAGCATTTTCTATATTGTTATTCTTTACTGATATAATGAGCCTGTCATCCAAGCTTTTTGTCTAACATAACTGAATTGAACCGAATATGGTAAGAAATACGTTAGCCCAAACTTTTATAGAAATCTTAATCTTACTCGTCAGTTATATCATTCCTGTAGTGTATATAAACCATACTAGCAGATACCATCACGTGATTTTAGTGAGAAAAAAAAAAACTCCCCGGTGACCCAGCGGAAAGCTAGAGGGCTTATAACGCTAAACATATGGTTCGATACCCTCGAAAGTAGCAGTTCTGATTGCCCATTATGTAGCTTTACGCTTATAAACAAACAAAAATCAATGGCTAATTCAAAAACAACAGTTTGAAGAAAATACATGGTGTTCCTTCAGTCAACATTGACTTGTTATTTACTGATTTTAACGTTAGTTGTGTTCACCGATCATGATTGGTTATTGTGAGTATGAACCAAACTGCACACTATTTACGTTAGTATATAAAATAGCAGGATCACAATAATTAAAAGATCGATTGCTGCTATCTGTATTCATTTATTATTTCTGCTTTCCAGAGTATTGTGTTGTTTGTTTGTTGTTAACCGCACAGCTGCACAATGGGCTATCTCTGCTCTACAAACCACCGGTAACGAATCCCGATTTTTAGTGTTATAAGCCCAAAGAGTTACTGGATGACTATAATACAACACATCTTTTCTTTTCCTCAGTTAAAGTTTCTCGATTTTTTTATTCACCACCTCCGCTTTTTTTTTACAATAATTTCAAGGGGAACACGTTTACGTCAAGACTGGGATCGATGGGCTGCTTTTTGCGGAGTGTTATGGGCGGTTTTCACCTTCGCCGAGCAACAGACCATCGCTTTAATGATATTCATCCGCAGCTCTTACACAGCCTTTCTTACCAGTACATGTATCTTGCTGGTATACATAATACTTGCTAGTGGAACAGTCAGGTAGTTAACTTTATCTCTTTGTTTTTCTGCAAAAAATAAATAAATGTATGTTTTGATAGCTAAGTTAATTCTTAGTAGTACTAACTGGGATATCTGCTTAAATCTAAAATATATTATATAATTTATCAAATCTAATTATTTGCATACGGTACGTAAATTATATAATAAACCTTTTTCTCATGTTTACCATCGAGTTTAATAGGTGGCAGCACCGAGTAGTATCCAAACGAAAATTGTAAAGCACAATTTAAATATGTGACAGAGGCACTACAGTTACTGTAAGCCTCCATTTATTTCTCCGTATATTCAAAAGAAAGAGATTTATTTAAACCAAGTCTAAAATGACAATATTTAAATCACGTAAATTAGTTGGTTTTATCACCTTACAATTGCAATTATGGTTTCAAACAGGAAACCTAGTGCTGCCATCTGGAGATTTTTAGTTATAGAAACAAAAATTTAGAGTTTTAAACTGTTATTATCAAGATAATTAATCATGTTCTTTATTCATATCATTACTTACTTATAATAGTTTTAAGTTTTATTTTCTACGTTTCACTAAACGAGTAAAATGTTTATAATAAATATAACGTTTTCAGGACGATGGCGGCATTACCAGATTGGCTGTATTACTTAAGTTATGGAGTGATCTACCGTTATGCAGGGGCTTTTCTGAACGAAAATGAATTTGACCAAAATCCTTCGTTAGTGAATGCACCATCTATTAATATGACTTCCGGTGCGTCACTTCCTTGCTTCAACAACAACGTTCCAGGTGAATGTTACTGGTTGAACGGCACACACTACCTGTCCATCAAGTACCACTTTCAAAGGGAAAGTTTCGAACAGTCTTTACAATACTGGCTCAATTTTGGAATGTGTTACGTGTTCGTTGGGGGCATGTGGCTCGTCAATATCATCATTTATCTACTTCCGCTTCCGGCATTTATCAAGGTAAAGTTTCGCGACTAAATAACGTAGTGACATCTTCTGCCAGTCGGTTCCAATCAAGCATAATTCAAACCTTAATTATTTGGGAATTATTTTTAAAATAAAGGAACAATATTACTAATCTCAGAGCTACATCTGTGCAGTGTAACATGAACTTCAAAAATCTATAGACAACATTTTAATGTGTTGTTAAATCTACTGAATTATAAAAAACTACGTCCACTTACCTAGACATCTTTTGTCAGTGTTATTCACTATTGAATTACGTAAAACTACGTCCACTAACCTAGACATCTTTTGTCAGTGTTGTTCACTCCATTGAAATAAAATTACGTCCACTTACCTAGACATCTTTTGTCCGTGTTGTTCACTCTGCTGAATTACAGAAAACTACGTCCACTTGCCTAAACATCTTTTGTCAGTGTTGTTCACTCCATTGAAATATAATTACGTCCACTTACCTAGACATCTTTTGTAAGTGTTATTCACTCTATTCAAATACAGAAGACTACGTTCACTTACATAGACATCTTTTGTCAGTGTTGTTCACTCTAATGAATTACGTAAAACTACGTTCACTTACCTAGACATCTTTTGTTAGTTTTGTTCACTCTACTGAATTACGTAAAACTACGTCCACTTGCCTAAACATCTTTTGTCAGTGTTGTTCACTCCATTGAAATATAATTACGTCCACTTACCTAGACATCTTTTGTGTTATTCACTCTATTCAAATACAGAAGACTACGTTCACTTACATAGACATCTTTTGTCAGTGTTGTTCACTCTAATGAATTACAGAAAACTAGGTCCACTTACCTAGACACCTTTTGTCCGTTTTATTCACTCTACTAACTTACATAAAATTAGGTCCACATACCTAGACGTATCTGTTAGTGTTGTTCAATCTTATCTGACGCAGAACACTTAAAGTGTTTCAATTTTTAAATAAAAAAGTCATAGGTTATACATATTAGTTGAACCTCTAGTGACGAAAAACAACCGATTTCAAAGGTTACACCACGTTATCCGTGGTTAATTGGCCAGCTGGTTTATTAAGCTGGATCAGGACTTTCTTCTAAGGGAGGTGTTTCTAGTTTGTCAAGTTAAAATACACCTTTTATCACAAAAGAGTCCTACCCGTTGAAATTTGTTACTCTCCCCTGTAAAACTATTTCAATATTCTCAGTAAGTTTCAAGCCTGATGATAGGCGTTGTAAATCGATTGTCTTGAGATTTGCACAAATTTTAATACCTTTGTGATAAATTACACATACGTAAGAAAATAGACTATTACAAGAATTGTGAGAAGTTACGCACTATGTTCTAATATTTTTATAATAAAATATTCATACGAATTTACCAAAAAGTAGACTATTAGAAGAACTGTGAAAGGTTGAACAAAGTTTAATATTTTTATATTAAAATGATTCATAAGAAATTATCAGAAAATAGACCATTAAAAGATTGAATAAAAATGTAATTTAGTTTCGAAGATATACGGACAAAGTAAAATATCTGCGTTTTCCTTAACGACCGCTTATTCTCGAGTCGTGATTCTTTTGCTTAGAGACCAGACAACTGTAACAGTATCAGCCTGATAGTCGTAAATCAAAAGTTAAAGTCAATCAGTCTGTAACGACCTTCGTCTTTCAAATGTCAGCGACTGGTGTTTCTGTCATCTAATACAATAATCGTGTGAACGTGGGCGAATCGTCTGTCAATCATGATAGCAATTTCGTGACGCACGGTTCTCCGCCATCTTGTTAAACTATCATACCTCGTTTTAAAGTTGTTTTCCAAACCTTCCTTACTGTTTTCTCTTCTTTTTTTTTATAATCAAGGCTAAATATACTTTGCAAAAAAATATTATTCAATTGCTTGTTGTGCTTTTTATACATGCTTGCCAGTGCTAATGTAATATTTTTGCTCTCCGAATTTGTGGTATATTTTGTTTGTTTGGAATTAAGCACAAAGCTACATTATGGGTTATTTGTGTGAAAATCAATGATATACTAGGCTAACATGTGATACTACGTAATAAAAATAGCAGAAATATTACACTAAGATGTGGTAATACATAATAAGAGTACAGGAAATAGTGTTTGTTTGTTTGAAGATAAGCACAAAGGGTTATCTGTGTTCTGCCTACCACGGGTATCGAAACCCGATTGCTAGCGTTGTAAGTCCGCAGACATACCACCGTGCCACTGGGAAGCCTGCAAATACTAGGCTAGCAGGTTATACCACAAATTCGATACCCGTGGTGGGCAGAGTTATATATTATCGTCCCCTGGTGAGACAGCGGTAAGTCTATGGATTTACTACGCTAAAATCAGGGGTTCGATTCCCTTCGGTGGACACAGCAGATAGCCCGGTGTAGCTTTGCTGTAAAACATACATTGCGTATTATCACATTTTAGTGTAATATTTTCGTTATTTTTATTACGTAGTATCACGTGCTAGCGTAGTATATCCTTTATTTTCATTACGTGTTATCACGTCTTAGTGTAATATTTCCACTATTTTGATTACGCAGTATCACGTGCTAGCCTAATATCTCCTTTGTTTTTATTACGTGTTATCACATCTTAGTGTAATATTTCCACTATTTTGATTACGCAGTATCACGTGATAGCCTAATATCTCCTTTGTTTTCATTACGTGTTATCACATCTTAGTGTAATATTTCCACTATTTTTGATTAAAGATATTTAATAAGATATTAATTGTCTTATATTTCATATTTTATTAGAGAAATTGTTTGTACCATTTGATTTGGTTCAAATAATCTGTGATTGGTTAATGAGTTGTTTGTGCAACTTGACTTGTTTATATAGAATCTGTGATTGATTAATGAGTTGTTTGTACCATTTGATTTGGTTAAAACAGTCTGTGATTGGTTAATGAATTGTTTGTACCATTTGATTTGGTTAAAAACAATTGTGATTGGTTAATGAATTGTTTGTACCATTTGATTTGGTTAAAAACAATTGTGATTGGTTAATGAATTGTTTGTACCATTTGATTTGGTTTAAAACAATCTGTGTTTGGTTAAATGGACTTTCCCCCTAATTTGTAAGGAAACATTGAAAGTATTACAACGGTTCGACATGTTCAAACATAGTATTCATCAGAGCTTTGATAAGATGATTTACTCGGGCGATTTTATTGTGTAGCTTGGA